AGAACACGTCCGTGTGTATGCATTCGCGCAGGCATGAATTAATGTCGCGCATACCGATGTCGGGAGAGAGCGGATAACGGGTGGCTCGTGACACGTGAGTCTCCGACATCGTACGTAATATATTAACACGTGGTAACGTGACTGTCGTTAAGCAATACGTTTATTTTTCCACTGTCATCTTCGTCCAATCGAACGAACGGGAGACAGATTGGAGTGGATCGGAATTACGGTCGACGGAACTTAGACTTGTTATCGTAGCTCAAACGTATTCGTCACGATGTTGATTGCCTCAATGAAATCTTAGACTCAAGTCATTAATTGTAAATATAGCAATAACAATACAGAGAGAATAAAAGACGAAATCGAAGAATAGGCAGAGTTGGGTAAGTTAATGTTTTTTTTTTAAATTAAGTTAAAGTTAATGGCTTATAAAATTAATAAAATTAAGTTGAAAGTTGAAGGAATAATGAATTAATTTAATAAAAGTTAAGATTAAATTAAGTTAAGTTTAAAAAAAAGTTAATTTTGAAAAGAATTGTTTTTGAGATCAGAATGTCCTAATTTTTCTTAAAATGAGATTACTTTACATAACTCTTACAAATATAGATTATTAGGCAAATTTAATTTTATATCCACATGTAAGTTACTTATATGTAATAAGAGTCATACCATAAGGTTTTGCCAAAATCTTGCGAAAGAGAAGGGTATATGTTTGCATGATTTCTCTTTCTTTAATCTTTATCTAACTTTCTTTATTTTCTGAAACGACTCATGCATGTTTACGACAACATCGACATTTGTTACAAAAAATATATGTAAAAATTTAGAAAATGGGTGAATGTGCAACTCTATTCTACAACAATTCTTCATTTAGGCTCACAAGGCTCATTTCATATTTATGTTGCTGAAGTATAACGTTTGTGATACCCAAAATTAGTGTAATTCAAATATAAGCGGGAATTGACAAAATGTAGCGAAATAAAAACTGGCTACCGTATGGTGTGACTCTTATTATAGAGTCTCTCATCATAAAATCATTGAACTTTTTCTAAATTAATTCTCTAATGTTTAACACTTATAGAAAAAAAATATTACCATTAAAAAAGATAGAAAAATTTTCAATTTAAAAAAAGTTAATAAATTAAACTTTAAAAGTAACTAAATTAAGTTAAAAATCAATGCATTTAAAATTATTAACTTTTTTTTTTAACTTTTAACGATTCAACTAGTTACTACTCAACCCTGACAATAGAATATATATTGTTGAAGAATCTTAGACTGTCCGAATCTAATTATTGATTGAAATATATGTATACATGCTTGATTGTGCGGTTATTCATTATGAGAAAGAGAAAGTCGGATATTTGAAAAAATACATATCTATTACATTTGTATACATATTGTCAGGGTTGGTAAAGACTAATGTTTTTGTTTTTAAGAATAAAACGTATTGTGGTTTTTCTTAATATACGTTTTTAATGCTTCAAATATGCTTTAAACAGTACTATAAAGAAAAACATGTTAAAAACATCAATTAAGCATGTTTTTTATCAACCCTGCATATTGTATACGTTAATTTGTACATCTACATATTTTGTATACATAAGATGTAGATGTACAATGTTTTTTCATTTCTTTTCATTCATAACGTGCAAAAAGTCTTTATGTTACATAAATCCCGAATACTCCCGCGTGATAAAATCTCGTCGCAATCTGTCGATAATACCCGTAATTTGCAAATGATGCACCAAGCAAATATAATTGAGGTAGAGGCAGAGCCGCAATGAATCGTTCTGCGACTCTTTACTAAGATAATATAGAAATAGAAAACGAGAAAAAGAAAAGAAATAGAGAGAGAGAGAGAGAGAGAGAGAGAGAGAGAGAGAGAGAGAGAACAAAGAAACAGTTAAAGACCTTGTACCAATTTCCATGAAGATTTCGGACGAAGCGTAATCGTGGTACATGATCGATGGCTGCGCGTTTTACGCTACACGCACGCAGTAAAAAGATCGAAAAGACTCGAGCGTGCGCGCCCATACGTCGCGACACGCACGTCCAAAAATATACAGGGCTCTCCTCGGCCAACGAGTTGAATCCGCCGCGCGCGCGATGTACATGTACTCTTTTTTTTCTCTTCTCTTCCTCCCGACACTTCGCCAAGGGAATCATCCGCGTCTCTCTACCCTCCCCACGTCTCCGCGCGCGCTACAGATGCTCTCTATCATAATAATCGCTATTTTGGATCGGAGGGTCGGCTGCTGGTCGCGTTGTTGCGGCAGATGTTCCCCTCATTCTCTACGAGCTAAAAAGCCTTCGAGTAGGAGAAGGTCGAGCTCCAAATACATGCCGCGCTCGAATGAGACGAATGGGCAAATAGAGCTAGACACGTCTAAAAGCCGTGGGATTGCTATATCTCGGGTGGGAAGAGAGAGAGAGAGAGAGAGAGAGAGAGAGAGAGAGAGAGAGAAAGAGAGAAAAACAAGGCGAGAGAATGATTGAGGGAAGATGGAGCGAGAGAAAAGAGAGAAACGTTCCTGGTATATTATGATTACTGGCCATTAAATGGAAAGACCAACGCGAGCACATCCGAACCGCGTTCTTCTTCTCTGATGTTCTTTTCTCTGATAATGTCTAAAGTAATAACTTATGGTATTTAGACAGTGAAAAGTTAGACTGCGGTTTACGCTCATAATAGTCAAACATCATTTGTTTTTGTTTAATATTTGATAAAGAATATAAGGATGAAAAATGATTTTAAAGGCCTGTATTCGTAGTCGATTATTATTTGATGAATAATCATAGTTTCATAAATCTTTAATATTATTCGTCAAGTTTTATAAGGATTCATAATAATCTTCAAATATTCTTTAATTCATGAAACGATTTAGGAAGCACTTGTTATTATTTCGATAATTTTGGACTGATAAAATGGTAGATTTTAATAATCATTATTTATTTCGATGATAATCTGTATATGTGGAGCATTTTACAAGCATTTAATATGTCATCTCCTTTTATATCTTCAATCATTTAATGTACATCGTTATCCATAATAAATTATCAAGTAGGTAATTAGATTTTGAATAGATATTTTTAAAATTATTATATCTAATGTTAAACGTTGTCAAAAAAACCGGACATTAATTATCAAAACCTTATTTGATTTTATAAGCTAATATAATATAATTATTTAAGTTAATAATTAAGATTAGAAAATAAATCGCGTTTAATAATAACAGATTTTTCAAACACAGAGATTTGTAAAACAGAAATCTGTGAAATCCAAAATATGAATCTGTAACTAATTATGTTCTCAATCAAAGATTAAAAATTATTTGCGATTATATGAATTCCGTCCTGAGTATCTATCATGGAACATATCGGAATGAATTCCGATCGGAATTATTCCGTTTTCTTTAGAAAACACAATAGAAATCGAAGGAATAATTGAATAATTCCGATCGGAATCTATTCCGAGTTGTTCCATGATAGATGCTCTGAATGGAAACGCAGACGAAATATGTATGAGCACAAATATATGTACATATTATCCGTTATCGAGAGAGAAAGAAAAAAAAGATTGCTGTTGGATGATCTCAAGAGAATTTGAAATCGAAGCAACTCGAGTCTCCTTCGGATCTGGTTACGTTCCAGCTTGCAACGCAACTAATTACGATGCGTGTCGTGTACTTACCATATTATTTTTTAGATCACAAACGGGGCATACGCGCACAAAGGGAGAAGGGCTTGCCTATGACATAGATATGAAAGCCGATCAACCATACGCGTTAATAAACTGTTAATAATAGTCAATAAGACTAGCCGTCAGAAATCGATATCTTAATTACTATACTTTTTCTTTTTTTTCTTTTTACTATATATAATCTCCACGAAGAGATAGCCGTGCCTCTTTATACTGGAAATATTCTGTGTTATTTATTGATATCTTTAATTATCGAGAAAACATTGACGGATGCGATAGAAAAATTGACGTGATAAAGTAACATTTCAGATAATCCGGAAGATATAATGTCGCGACAACTTGTTATTATTAATACCGGTACAATGACAATATAACTACATTGCTGCGCATTGTTACTCCATTCTACATTTTACGCGACACGAATATCTTTATAATTTAGTATATCATATTTAATACACTGAAAATTTTTCTAAGATACTTTCGAGTGGAGAGCAGCCAACGCTCTCATAGAAGCTGTTCATGCAAATCTTACCTCGTCATATGGCCGTCCGTGATTCTCATAAAGCTCAGAGGTAAATTTTCTCCGACGGTTAATTTAACTCTCAACAAAATTTACGATTGCATCGATCCAGGTTTTTTTTTTCCTTTCTCATAGAATGGGAAGTTGCGGACTCCCTCGATGATGCGGAAATTTCTTAAGGCTTCACGCGAAGGCAAACGTCTAGCAAAGTCTTCGTAATACCTTGCCTTACGGGAGGCCCCACAATTGTGCAATTCAGTCACTTTGTTGTTATGATGATGATGCAAGGCCAAACGTCCTAAATCGTACAACACCTACTTATAAGGTCACTGTGCTCTCGAGATATTATCGAACCGTTTGTGATTATTTTTAGACGATGCATCGTATTTGTGTCATGCATAATATGTATTATGTCATGCTTTATTATATATATTAAAATTTATATCACGCGCACTCTAAAAACTGTTACATCTCAAACCATCAAATTATCAAATTATATATTGCGATTATATATATTCTTAACCGTAAAGATAGATCATCGTCTAAAATTATAACTTTAATATAAAGTATACTTTTAATTATAGTTACTATTTCTACTACGTGTAGTATCTTCTGGCTTTCACTCGTTTCTCCATTCTAGCGTGTCGTGTTGATTACATAGCAAATATGAGTAATAGGAATAGCGCAAGAGGAGAAGTAGTAATTAACCAAGAGAAACTCTAATGCATAAAATATACTGTATTATAATGATAATATACTTTGAACATTAAAAATGTTTTAATGTTTCCTTGTACGATTTTTTTGACCTTTATTTCTTTTTCTGCCATTTTTTTGGCGTTTTTTCTCCAGAAGTTTGCGTGCCTTTAAGACTTGTTCGGGTCGCTTCAGCTCGTTCTTTATTTTAATCTTGTCTTTAAGCTTCTGGTTGTGCCGTGCCCAATGCGTATTTGCAGTAGTTCGTACTGAAACACGTGAATAAAGTACGTCAATTAATTTAATGAGCGATATTTAGAATAAATTGAATGCACAGAAAGAAAAATTTATAAAAGAAATGTTTTTAGATGCATCAATTAAATACATGTATGTTATTTAGGTTAGTTAGATTTAAATTTAATATATTTTTAAATAAAAAATTAATGCAATCATGTTAACTCACAATTTTTTGATTGTGAAGATTCTTCCTCACTATCATCTGCGCTATCGTTTTCATCGATTTTACTCTTCTCTTTCCACATGTTATAACGATTTGTTTTATATGTAGCAGGTATCCATACTCCCGATTCAGTGCGTATTTTTTTCGCCTTCGGGTCCTGTTGATACAATATAGAATATATATTCATGTTTCACGGTAAATAGAGACGATGTATAAGCTAATGTATATACTCTTTCGACGGTGACCATCTTCTTCCTTTTCCTATCCCACTTTTTCAGTTGCGTTTGAAGATGTTGACCATCTTCATTATCTGCTGTTAAATCCATCTGCGCCTTATCAGCTTCAGTGGCAAACGTGTTAACTGCTAAACTGCAAGCCAAATGAACATAGAATATAAATAATAATAGAAAATTTAAAATATTTTTTTAATTGTATATTTAAAAAGAATTAAAATTATTAATATATTTTTTTAATGAATTAAAATATACATTTATAATAATTTTAATTCTTTTGTAATAAAAAGAAGTTATAAAAACTGAAATATATTTTTTTCGCAATTCTTACCCATCCTCTGTATGTTTATCTGGTGCAGAATAAGGTATATAATATTCTTCATCCCGCTTCGTTAAATGTTTCTTCTTCTTTGAAAGTTTGTATAAATCGTCACTAGTTCTTTTCTTTGGAACTATCACCGTTTTAAATGCAGCATTAATTTCTTCCGTGTTGCTGGATGGTAGATTGACCTTTTGAGATAATTCTACAAAAATTGAAAAGTTTAACGTAAATATTGTCATATATACAATATTTAAGTATATATTGTTATCATAATATCTACCTGATGCCGTATTGATTTTATCGGTTTTATATTCTTCCATCTTTCTACGGAAATTAAGAATATTTTCCTTGTGAAATATTCGTTTCGTTTTCATCACTTTATAATCAGTTGAATTTGTCTTCGTACCAATTTCAAATATCGTCTGTTAAAAAATTTAGATATTAAAATTGAAGCATAACATTTTATTATATATATAAGGCGTCATAATACTCACTCCCTGCGGTTTATAGTTTTTCATCCTGGATATTATATCCGCTGTATTAATGTGAGAAGCATCAGAATACTCGGGTAAAATTCCGGCTTCATTTATGCGAAGCTCCTTAATTCTTTTGACACTTTCTGCCGAAGCTCTTGGTCGTGATCTAACGTATTGTTGATAGGCGTTGTTGCATACTTTTCGCATATTTATCTGAAGATATACATATTCATTAAATGCAATAAAAAAGATTGAATTATACTAATTTATTTATCAATGTAAATATGCTCAGTATGCTACCAGATCAGTAGAAGTATTGTGCCAATTGATTAATTCAGCTAATTCTTCCTCTACCATGGCTTGTGGCAATTTTCCTATAGCATATTCCATACTTTCATCGATTTCTGTAGTCGGCACTATTATTAAAGGTCGACCAAGAAAGAGATGCAAATCTAAGAGATAAGGATATTCATCCGAGCTCACAATATTATATGCCGTTCCAATACGTCCAGCTCGAGCACATCGTCCTGCAGAATAAATGTTTATAATCAGTCAAAAGTGCCTGCGTATTTTAATAATAATTAAGAAACAGTTACGAAAGAACGTACCTACTCTGTGTACGAAGAGTTTAGATTTTGCGGGAAAATTAAAATTAATTACACAGTCGAGATGTGGTATATCTATTCCTCTAGCGGCAACATCTGTTACTATGAGAACTCTCACTTTACCGATTTGAAATTTAGCTGCGTTTATTTTACGCGCAGAAGGATCCAAATTTGAATAAATGAAAGTGTTAGATATACTCGCTTTATCTAATATCTACAAAAATTTTATAAGCTATTATTCGAATTATTGCCAAAGTATTTATATAATTTATAATTTATATATTTAAAAGGCGAATATGTATGTATAGTGATGATTACCTGATGAATATATTCTACATGATGCATAGTTTCCGCAAATATAATTGTTTGTGACTCGGACTTAATAATTCTTTTTAGTAAGCTTAGAAGTACAGCTAATTTCTCTTCAGGGCGACACGTAATAAAAGATAATGTCAATCCTTCAGGCAGCTTACTCTCAACATCCAAACGAAGTAAAACTGGATCACTTAGACCAGCTTTTGCAAAATCTACTAGAATTTTGGGCAAAGTAGCAGAAAACAATAGTGTTTGACGTGATTCTGGTAATCTGTTTACAATTTCTTGTATCTGTTCTCCAAAACCCATTTCAAATAATCTATAATACAATTATCACTTTATACAAATGCAAATATTAAAAATCATAACATGAGACAGAAGAAACTATTACCTATCAGCCTCATCAAAAACAATGTATTCGATATTTTTCAACTGCAGATCCATCTCCATACATATATGCAGAAATCTACCTGGAGTAGCTACAATGATGTCAGGATTTCCATGAATTGCACTAAACTGATTGTCCATACTGTCACCTCCCAGTATCACTGCTGACTTTAATCCTGTAAATCTTCCTAACTCCTTCATAAACTTTAATGTCTGCAGTGCCAGCTCGCGTGTAGGCGATAGTATCAATGCACGTGCACCCGTTTTTGCTTGCCTTGCTTTGAGTTTTTCGAACAGAGGAATTAAAAAGCAAGCAGTCTTTCCACTACCTGTCCTAGCCATTGCTACTACATCTCTTCCCTCAAGAGCCAATGGTATAGTCTACGAAACAATAAATTTTATATTAATGTTAATCAAGATTTAAAAAAGTTGTAATCTCAAAATGTAAACTATATTTGCTTATAAATATATGTTTTTTAATAACTTTTCTTTGAATAGGTGTGGGTATTTTGTATCCACGTTTGAGGATCCCTTTCAGTACTGGAAAACTAAGAGCCATGGATTGAAACCCTCCAGATTTCTTGGAAATCTTCTTTTTAATACTAGCGATTTCATTATCTTCATCATTGTCACTGACCGTATTTGGATCAGCAAATCCAACAAGATCATCGTTCTTCATCTTGCTAGATTACAAAACACAATTTTATTAATATAATAAATAAAATGCTATATTATATACAAATATCTCTCTCAAGTATGTCGTTTCTTATCAGAGATACAGTGATCTCTTTCATATTTATCCATTGATGTAAAAAGAATCTAGTTTTTTAATATAAGTTCCAAACAGTTTATTAGAAGAGGTATATGACAAAGACAGATGGAATGATAAATAGTTATTGTATTAAATAACAGTACTATTATAATATTCAAATTTGATCTCTTAAATTTTGTGAAAATAAAAATCAGATACTTTTTGTGATTTACCACTGCTCTCCATGCATGTGTGAGATGATCATCAAATAAAATCTGATATATTTATATATATATGTTCTGAATCGATATGAACTCAGATCTTGGGCATAGACTTAGAACTGAACATATATTTTAAATACTTTCATTTACTTGTTTTACAATACAAGAGTATTTTAGTATTTTGTATTTTAGCAGAGTTCATCAAAAATATTATATATATATTTAATTAAATTGTATTTAAAATAAAAAAATTAAAAGTTTTAAAATTACAAAATACTATTACTGTACTCCCATAAAATACGAAATACAAAATATATATGTGCTCCATTGAAAAACAAAATAATGTGCTCCGTTGAAAAACAAAATATAATTGTCTTACAAATACTGTTTTTCAAATACATGCTCAAAGCTCTAGGCACAGAGAGCAGCCACATAATTATCTGTGCCACAATCGCCACAAATATAAGTAATATATATACTATAAATAAACAAACAAATTAAACGGCGAAAGAAAAGTCATTAGGTTAAAAAACATTTAATTAGTTAAAAATATTAGGCGAAGATACAGATAAATGTATGAAATATCATAATCATACATTTATATGCGCCGTTCTGTATCTGTTCATGTATCTTCGCCTAATATTTTTAACTAATTAAATGTTTTTTAACCTAATGACTCTTCTTTCGCCGTTTAATTTGTTTGTTTATTTATATTATATTTAAGAATCTTTACATCGTTATTATTTAATATATATACTGTACCAATTTAACATATTTTATTAAATCTATAAATATTATATATCTTAAATACTTTTTAATTTTTTTTTAATTAATCAATACTTTTATAATATGCTATGAATATATTTTTAAAAATTATGTTTAATCTTACTTTTAAAGTCTTGATTCTATTATAAATCCAAATTCATCAAATGTCACATGGAACAAAACTGCAATCTCACATAACCTCAAAAATGAATGGAGATGTGCCTCGTATACAATATTATGGCGGCTTTCCATAGAACAACGGAAATGTCGTTTAAAAAAATCCTAAAATCGTTTATATTACCAGAGAGAAATCTGAGAGAGGACATGACGGCCTAAAATCTGTAACTGCACAATGCTGTCGCGCACTACCATCTCTTAAGAAGTGGATGTTAACTACACAACAATGTTCTCTCTGTCGTCGATATAATTTCGTTAAGTTTATTTTCCAATGCCGCATATATTATACAAAAAAACCTAATGTCATTTTCATTTCATGCACAAATGAGCGTAATGATTTATTATCTCATAATATATTTAATATCTAACAATAAAATAAAACTCAGTGGAGTAGTATTGCTATATTATTTTAATTTAAAATTTTATTATAAAACTTTAAGTAATAAATATATTTCTATACTTGCTCGATGTTTAAATGATTCACAATTATAATTTATAATCGCTTATTATTTTATAAGTCCAACTTTTCTTTTATATAATTTTTTCGATAGCCTTATTTATTCTAATTGGTTTTTAATTTTTGGAAAAAAAATATAATTTCTAGTCTGTATTCAAAACACTCCTATATGTTTGAAATTCTACAATATTCGTAACGTTAACTATATACTTAATACATGCTAACATCGTAAAAGAGCTTGCGAATGGTTACAGGTTTTTCCAACCTCACAAAACGAACGCCTTCAAATTCTCAAAAAGACTGAAATTCTTTGCACGTAGCATTTATATACTATATTCGAAAGCTAGCGCGGACCAATCAGCATCCGCAGCGATGAGGTTATTTAGCGCATCGCGCTCATTGGCTGGCATGCGAGTGGTGGGGTTCGCCGGTTGACGGCTTCTATAAATACCGCGTAATTCGCGACCGCACGCTATTGTGATTCGAGTAGCGGATGGGGATACGTCCAGTCATCAACGTTGAAACAGTTCGCAATCCTCTTTTCGAATCGATTGACTTCAGATTTTAATCTCCTGCTAAGTATAAAACTACGTTGGAAAAGTTTGCAGTCCTGTCTTCGAATCGATTGTGACTTTTTCTCCATATTCTAATACTCTGCTGAAAAATGAGACGGAATCTCTTGGAATATAAAACGATGGGAAACGGCAACGAAAGGATCGTTCATCGTTGGATTTTACTATGGTAATCAATAATTTTGTCTTTACTTCTCGTAACAGTGTAGATATCGCATATTATAAGGTCTAGTATAATACTAGCACACTGATTATTCGATTGAAAGTATGTGGCATCGCGTCGTGTCATCGCGTCTTGCGTCACTTTACGCGTGAAGTTAACCGCACATGGGAAACAAATGCCGCTCCCCCATTTCGATCGCATTTTGTTCGTAGTCTCGGCGAGTATCGACGTGATCAGACGTTATTGCGTCATTTTTAGGAAGCGTGACCGGCTTCAAACGAGCATGAGTTACTTTTTTAGACTTTCGTATTCTGTATGTTGGATTTTTGTTACCGCATACAGCGGCGTTTTCAATTCTGGCCGCGTCGATTCTGTGTTAGAATCGGGGCCATTCTCGCGCGGAAAAGACATTCGCGAAATGCGGTGGAATGGATTGGCTCTCAGATAAGTGTAAATGCGCGATCAAATATGGTAATTAAAATCTATATAATACCTGAATATAACTTGAATATATATTTTCATACGCGATATTTAACTATCGCGTGACTAGATTCGGTAATCGCATATTAATAATCCGTTCGAACGCGTATTTCGTAAAACTTGTTCGCCGAAAGTATATTGCTTAAATAATTGACGATGAGATTTCCAAATATCAATCTGCAATACGGAAATAATAATTATAAAAGAAGAGCGTATATTACAATAGCCCTTTGTGATTATTTCCATATTTCGAGCGTCAGATATATTTCGAAATACGGAAAATTTATGAAACGCGACGCCGAGAGCAAGAAGTGCAACGCCGTCATAACGCCGCGTCTGTGTCTTTGGCACGCGAAGTTAACCGCGCAAAAACAAAACTGTCACGCTTTCTTAATCTTAACTACGATTCATTTACACATTTCGATCTGTAAATGAAGCGCAGATATAATTAAGAGATGAGATTGGCATCGATCAAATGATAATTGAAACTTATATTAAACCTATATTTGTCGTTCATTGCAACACTTAGTTCGCGCAATTATAGATTCAATATTCATTAAGAAAAAGACGCGCATTGCCAACGTATCGCTCTTAACGTGTAAAATAAACGTATTATAACGTATTATAACGTGAGAGACGAAATCACTTCGATATATTAATTTGTTTTATTTGCAGAATGCGACGAGTACGAGATGGTTGGCTCAAAATGAGTGCTGTTGCGATTTATTAAATTGGTAAAGAAAATTTATATTAATTTTATATCTAATTATTAAAATATCTAATAATTTCTTGTGTAATATAGTTTCGGCACTAGTATACGGATAATTCGTTTGAGCACGTATTTCACAATATTCATGCAAATAGCATGTCGCGTATAAAGACAACTGCAGAAATCTTTTGCCATCTTAGATGCATTCCAATGTTCTAAATTTTATTTGTAAAGTATCACGAGTATCGAACATAATACTCAAATTTCCTGCATTCTTATTTTTCTACTATAGTGAATTATGCACACGTCTAATTAATATCGACTATATGAACAAAATATGACATGGTCGCATAATATTTAGGATGCGTTCCGCTTTTACGCTCACACGATGTAAATATTAGTTCATCCTTGTTTATCAAATATCAAACAAGGATAAATGATATTTGTAAGCATTGTAAGCGTAAAATAAGACGTACCCTTAGCAATTATTTGCAACTGCACTTAATTTTAATAAACTATTTCTTTCAACTGATAGATGCTGTTACAAACCAAACAATGGGAAGAGAAGAAAGGTGAAAAGCAGGCTTGACAATTTTGTGAAGAGGAGGAGGAGGAGGAGGAGGAGGAGGAGAAAGAAGCCGAGGCTCAAGAAAAGTAATGGATCAATTTTATGGTAAGTAAACTTATTGCTTACTTACATAAAAAATTAGTCATTTCTTCCCATTAGATTGTTTTATTTCAATAATTAAAAATAATAATTAAAAAAAAGAATTAATCTAAAACATTACGGAAATTTATTCTCCTAAAGATAATTTTGAAAAAATATATAATTATTTTAATGGATATATAATTGAAAAACTATTGAAAAATTTAATGTGTATAAAAATTAATTTTTTAATTGATTATTTAGAACGCTATTTTAACTTGTATCTTGTATTTGTACGTTACAGAATCATGTAATGCATATAGCTGATAACTCCACTGCTGCATCAATCGGTCTTTCTTCTTTTATTGGTACGCGCAGTCACCGGCCGCGATCAAGCCATTAGCCAGTTAGTAAAGATGCAGTAAAATATAATGGAGACTTCGTACGGCTCTATACTACTGAGTTTGGGGCATCAGTCGGTGAGTGACAAAAATTTTATCAGGTAACGAATCTGTATAAAATGTACAGATCTATCATTATATTAGAAATGAATATAACGCTTTATAGACTCATTACTTGAAAATGAATTAGCGATTATGACATATTTAATCTTGGATTTGTTTATCATTATTTGACAACTTGATTATAGCATCTTGATCTGCTATTATGATTAAAACTATTATGTTTATACTCGGAAAAAAATGTTTTATATATAATTATATAAAATTATATATAATGATATTAAAAATTGACATATTTTCTATATAATTATATATAATTATTATAAAATATGTCTATAATATATATAAT